ACAATCTCTAAAGAGTTCTCGCAAAGATTTATCTTTCGAGAATTTCGAAATAAAGAAAATATATAGAGTGCGAATACTAATATCTGTTTTACACCATGCTACATAGCTGACACTTCTAAAATGCACATTTTTAGCCTCCTAACAGCTTGTTTGGCCAACTTCTACAGGGCATAAGAATTGCCAACTCTTTCTCTGAAAAACTAGGTGTAAATGATGCACTGTGCCTGTAGAAACTGGATTTTTCTCGTAGTCCTTTCAACAAGTCTGATTGTAATTCTAGGCGGTTAGTTTCACGCTGTCTAAAGCTTGTTGAAACATAAGCCCCTTCCCTTCTTTCCGGATCATGAATTCAATCGACAGATGCCCTACAAGTGTAAACGTTTTATTTGAAAATATAATGCAAGTTTCGTACATGAACAAGTGTGCCACAACATGACCTTGTCAATAAGTCCATAAAAATGGCGGAGACTGTTTTACTTTCAGGACCAATTTTTGCATGACACGTATAACATCTCTAGCAACTTAAGAAGCGAGATAATCCTTGGAGCCCCGGCATGGGTTGCCATTTGAGAACTTTGGGGACGAAATTCCTCCGTGACATTGCAAATTGTGGCTCAGCAAAACCTGGATCTTTCTATAACATAAAATGAAATCGTTGCCCACTTTCAGTTGGCTTTCGTACAGAACATAACTGCACTATTTCCCACTTTGAGCTACGGGGGAAGGAGTTGGCACGACGGGTAAGTGGTCATGCTGACTACAAACACAATTTTTTTGAGAATTGTCGAACACCTTTATCGATTTTATCGACTAAATCTGTGCGATTTTTTGGCTAAGAGCGGAGTGGTGCAGGGGAGGGGGGGAGGGACCGGGACAGGGGTCTCGCATGAAGTAGGACAAGGACAGGGAAATGTTGTGTAGCAGTGGTACGAAATGATGAGTTCAATATTGCCATGTTGATAGAGACCGAGCGAAGCCGGGTTTCTCAGCTAGGGTAATCCAAAAGCAATCGCGGTTATCCCATTCTGGCCCCTAGTGACTACGCATGCGCATTTTTGACTACATTCTAGAAAATTATCAAACGCGTAAGGCTGAAAGAAGGGTCTATCGGCTTTTCTAACCACATCCTCCTCATGATAGATTTCATATTAAGGCTAATTATTGATCTCAACTAGCACAAATTGGAGGAAACCGCAAGATCCAATAGTTCTTGAAATTTTATTTAGGAGGAACATACGAATACAGAATTTTCAGCTTTGTTTGTGGGCATGGCATGTCATTGTATATAGGGTGCTCTGTGTTTTCATTCACTCATCTAGTGAACTTACTTATCGTTCTGACAATGAGTCTTGAAAGCTGCCCACCCAAAATTTTGCTTCACATGTTCTTGTAAGTTTGGGGCTCATTCGTGGCCCTTATCGCGGTCATGAAGTTCTTGTCCAAAACCCTCAAAACCCGATTTCTGGGAGCCCTATCTTGAAGGCACATGCGACTTTAAGTACTTGGGTGGGCGGAGTTTAATAGGATGCGGGCGTGGCTTGACAGCAGTTTTGCTTTTTCCGGTCCATTATCTCCATTCCGAGACAACATTAGAGGACCGAACCAATACGGATTCCTGGGGGCCTACATTGAGGATTGGCATAGTCGGAGGGGTTGAGTTTTTGACCTGGACATTGCCTATGATTGAAAATACGAGATTTTGAAGCCATTTATAGGCATAGCAGAATATTTGTTTCAATGCATTGCAGTAGAAAAATTGCTGAAGTATTTTTTATTCATATGTCACTTTCTATACCATTGCTCAAGGGAGCTGATAAAACGACAAAAGCAGGTGTCAAACTCTAATGGTTGACTTGATCAAAATTCCATTTGCTGCTATAATTTTGGCCTCAGGATGCAAGCTGCAAGAAAGATTGATGTTAAATATACCCTGTAAGACAGATACAGTTAAGACTCTTCATTCTCTTTATTAAATTAACCGTCTTTCTTTTGTGCGAAATACGTTTTCCTACTTTCAAGAAGCACTCCGTAAGTCCATCGCATTCACTGCGCACTTTATTGGCTTCGATCTTCATTCAGTTTGTTTACCAGCATTCTAGAAGTCTCTAGGTTGATTGTTGAGAATCTTTTATATTGTGGAAGAAAAGCAATGAAAGCAATTTGCGCATGACGGATTACATTTCCTTCATTTCGTCATCATGTTGGCACGCTCAGATTCATGATTAAGTTCATAATTTTCGGGATACTTCTCTGTAAATCTTATTAAAACCAGAGATTTAGTTTTCCGTTTTTCTAAGCTGTGACATATTCATTTAAGCTTGGCAAACTCAAAGTTTTTTTTACACACAAGGATCTTGATATAAGGACCTCCGAGCTCATGTTCTTCATGCGCAAATTCGAGGTGCGTATACTGTAAGATTTCATGAAGCTTCTTCTAATCCTTCTTCTTACACTTCTGTGTATTTGTTGTAAGATTGAAACTTGTACACATCATCTGACCATCATATTTTTTTCCAGTGGTAGTGCAAGGAAAGGTAAAAAATAAAGTGCCAGGGCCGACACCTCCAAGCAGACCAACACCTATAAAGATACCAACACCAACAAAAACACCGACACCAAAGATAAAAAGATTTCTCCCCCCCCCCCCCCCCCCTCCCCCCACAGACCAAACCCCCGCCCGAACCCAAAAAAGGTCGTCGCCACCGTCGTTCACATCCTTTTCCATACACTACACTTATTGATACACTTACTGATGGAAAAGTCATTATATAGTTTATCTGAAAAGTTGTTCGAGTGGATTTATACTAATGTGTTGGATGTTAATCTCTAAATTCCAAAATAGTTTAACGTCATAAATGTTGTGCTTTCATCGTAAATAAAAGCTTTCTGCATTTATGTATTTTTATTTGGCCTGTTTATTGAAATTCGATTTTTTGAGGGATTTCAGGTAAAATTGTGAGTATGTGCAGGCGGATATGTGTATTTATTTTCAAGAATGGTCGTCAGAAGCCACTTAGAGTCGCAGTACATATTTTTTGCTAACTTCAGACCGCTAAATTATGGCTATGTCCTCTGTTCCATACTCTGGGGTGGTCTCAAAGGAACCGTCACCTCAAATTTTTGCCTTGGAGGACTCAAAAAAAAGAATTGAAAAGCCATTTTACAAAATTCAAGCTCCAGTGCGAAATAATCGCTCAGAATTCACCTGTCAATTTGTACATTTTTCCATTAGCGTGGACCGTCTAAAGATGATGGTTTCGAATAAAGCTTTGGACTAAATGGAACTAATAGAATTTGCTATAAAAGCAAACAAAATTCTTGGTTTTTCTAGCTATTAGGTTGTCCCAAAAGTCTTTTCATCTTTGAGTTTTCTCTGTAATAATTCATACACTTCCTATTCTAAATAGAATGTAGGATACCATTCGATAGAGCAAAAAAAGCTCTATAAGGTGGCGTTAATGCTTTGGAACCAGCTTCGCTCCACTTCAAGTTTGAAACCAAAATCTAAAGATTTTTGAATGCCCATGAAATTAAAAGATTTTATATCTTTGTTCAGAAAAGTCCTACAGGCCTCTCACTCGCTCACGCATATATGTGCACTCCGCGTCCAACACTCATATGTGCTATTGCCGTATTTTCTTAGCTAAAAATCAAGAAACCGAAAATTTCCATGTTTTTACCAAGGTGATGCTGTGCTGTTCTTACAGCAACAATTGTTTACTATAAGCCCTTAAAAGTATCGCACATTTTCAGCTCTCTATAAGCTCTCGTTTCCGAGAAATATTGAATTTAGCTTCCCTCACTCGGTTCTTCGCATTTAACTCAACATTCCTCGGTAACCAGAGCTTATAGAGAGCTACAAATTTACAATTGTACTTCCAAGTGCTTGTAGTATACGATTGTCAGTGTAAGAAAGCACAGCATCACTTTGCACATCACTCAGCACAGCCATATGAGTATGTGATGTGGAGTTTATACGCGTGAGCGAGTGAGAGGTCTGTAAAACTTTTCTGAACGAAGATATGACAATTTTTCAATTTTCTGGGAATCCGAAAATAAAGTTTGATTTGCTCTATCCAAGGATACCCTAAGTTAACTAAAAAACAAATTCAGCTTAATTTTCAAAAGAGGAGTTTCTTGGGACAACCTAAAATATTAACATAACCTACTACATTTATTTAATATTCAAAAGTACAGATAGGGTTCACTTTTGAGTAATCAGTGAAACATCTGTAAGACCGGCAGCTCTGCATATTACAGAAGCAGCTGTGGAGACATATCAATTCGCATATACTTTTTTGTTTCCAATCGACAGCTGTATAGCATATAAGCCAAAATGAGACCAAATCCTTGAAACTATCCAAAGCCTTCTAATTTTTCTGAAAATTGCTTTTACATTACAGAAAGTTGCAAGCTACTGTATTCTCTATGGAAACCTCTTCTCATCTGTTTTCCTTTCGTACACAGGATGTCCCAAATGTGAACATTGTTTGATTGTTAATGACTCTTTTGCTCTCAAGTCTTTCGTCGAGCTTCAACTACCAATCTGTAGTATGAGGTTCAATTTAGATTTACACAGTATGGAACGTATCATCAATAATTTTCGTTACTGTAAGATTACGATACAAACTTTCTGCATACAAATCGCTGTGGAATAGGCCTTTTAGCGAGAAAAATTTGGATCGAAAATTATGTTACAAGGTTTTCAGGCGTGCTGATCTCACTACACACTTTTTACCAAATTTCCTAGCTTTTTAATGGTGTAATTACACTTCTGACGAGCATTGGAGTAACATTTGCCCTAAACCTGAAATAACTCAAGAAAGAAGCATTACGGCGAAATGCAGCTTTCCAATTTAGAATAGACATCGATTAGTCTAGTACAAGAGTTTCCGGCCTGTTTTGTTTTTCCATTTGCTGGCAAAATCGCTTTCAATTTCCTAAAATCCTTCTCGAAATTCTTATTGTAATTCTACACTAACAGAGAGTGATAAATGATTTGCTCGATACTGTTAATTTAGGCTAAACCTCGCTCTACTGAATGGCACCGGAAGCTTTGCGAGATACATGAAAGCAAGAGAGTATTAACGATCAAACAGTGTTCACAAGGACAACCTGTAGTTTGAAGACTCCGGACTGTTTTCCTCGGTGACAATTTTATTTTAAAAGATATTCCTCTATTTATACAGACTTAATTCTTTTCTCAAAGACCGATGACTCATCTTTAAACGGTCGGCAACGTCTTAATTAGAGAAATTTGTTGCTGATTCTATTCGAACTTCGTAGTGCATAAACTGTAATTTTATGTTGCAAAGCAAAATTATGAGAACTTTCATTGGAAAAGTTTAATGCATAAAATTTTTCGTACAACTATAGCTGTAGACAAACTGCGAGTCACTGATTTTCTTCGTGACCTATTTAACCCAAACATTTTTTGCACGCATGATCACCAGAAAATCACTTTATCACTTCAAGGATATTTTCTTCAGAAGAAAAATCTTGCATTCTGGATTTTAGTGTGTAAAGATTTAGAGAGTAATGCTTCACAAGATATTCCTGCTCCTGATTCTGACTGCCGCGTCGGCCTGCTTCCCCCTCTTGTCCTGGCTCAGAGGAAGCTCAGAGGATAATGGATTTGATAACAAATATTATTTTGATGTGAGTTTCAAATTTTGATTCATAATTCGTGTAATTGAATGTATTAACTGTATTAACTGCATTACAGTGCCAAAGCAATTGCTACCGCGAACATATGAGGATAAATGAGCAAGAACAGTATGAAAAATGCCTGAATAAGTGTACAAAAAACGCTAAGCAGTAATAAGATCAGCTGGAAAGGATTTTAAGGCTTATTTGCGCTATCTAGGACACTAGAAGAATAAGCTTTGTTGTTACACACAACAGCTCGAATTGTTGAAATAAATTCAACGTTCTGTTTTCTATGCATACATCATTCTTTAGTACATATGTCTCCAATATCAGTTGCAATTGCCTTGAGTCTGTCGAGATCAGTGTGTAGAAATGTTGAAAATCTCAAACAGAAAAGTGGACTTGTAGTGGACAAACACTGAAAGAATTTCTACATAACAAGGAATTGATTTGCTTTATAAATTCACATTTCTTGGAAGTTAAATATCATGCCATCGCTTCAGCAGGTTGAGTGCTATACTATACAAGGAATCACTTCAATTCGATTCCTTCAAAAATGCATAGTAATGCATGTTGAGTTTAAAATCAAATCTAAGAGCATTTGATAGTTAAAAAATCAAATATTTGCTTGAATTGATCTGCAAAAACTTCCTGGTTAATCGTCGTATACTGGAGACATGGAGAAGTAAAAATGGACTCACTAATTTTTTTTCCAAAAATCACAATACAAAAACGGGAGGGTTACACAAACGTTGCCCTTTTGTTTTTCATTGCTATGTACACTAGTAATTCTGGAACCATGACAAGTACAATACAATATAATGGTTATTCTTTGCAGGTGAACATCATAAACTTTAAAGGACCCTCATATTTCTTCTGTAATCACGCTTCGACGCATAAGAAATAAACATTATCTTTATTTGTACCCTCATAGATCTCGTTGTAATTAGGCACTTTCCTTTTCTAGTACACAAAATTGACAAAAGAATAAAACAATAAATAAAAAAAATACAAATAAAATTAAATTAAATTTAAAAAAATTAAAATAAAATACAATAAAATAAAATAAGGAATTAAAATAATACTGAAAACACAATCTTAAGTATGCCAAGGTTTCAGCAAGAGAGGACGAAGAACTTAGAAAATTGGCATTCAAGTCTTAGGCTTATTAAAGGTACATATGGAGCAATTTGAAGTACAATGTATTTTTTAACCAAACAAAATTTGCACGCAATAAAGCAGTCTAGAAACTTTCAGCCAAGGAATCTCATACCTTGTGAGACCCCTTTTCAGAGCAAGATTGTGGAACAAAAGCTACTGATGGCATCGATTTTGAAAATAACATTATTCACAACACTCAGTGCAGAGCTCCGGAAATGAACTCTCTGAAGCAATTACTGTAGCGAATTGTTGCTGATAAGAGTTTCCTTTATTTTTAGTAAGAAATGAACAAGTTCTTTTATATCAGTCCGGCCAAAAATCATTAAATAGAGAGGGAATTGTGGCATCGTGATAACACAAAACTACTACAAGATCCCTTTCATCGATTCTCTTTCAAACTTCAGTATTTTTGAATTAGAACGAGGGTCTTGAGATAAGGTTTATATCTAACCTAAAAGTCACTTTGAACTTCTAACGTTAGGGAACCTGTGATGCTGAGCTCGTTTTAACAGAAGTATGAGCACTTCCTTGTGTTTGAGCAAGTAAAATGGTAAGTACACTATCCGAAATCAGTCTTGATTGAAACAATGTTTATACCATGCAATCTGACCTTACAAAATTACTCAAAATTTCTATCACTAGAGAGCCGGTGATGTTAAACTTTTTCTTTGCAAAAGAAAGTAGGAGCACTTTTCTGTGTCTGCACAAATAAAATATTTTTTGGAAGAAAATTTTATGTAGATCGAATAAAATACAACATCATCTAAACCTGATAGCATATTTTACTTAAAATAGGAAGAAAAGTTACGACAATGTTTTAACCACAACTTTTCGTCGGTTAGCCTTAGAAAACAAGGTCTTTAAAAACGGCACTGCAAGATCTCTGCTTTTCTGCTTGTTAGAGTCTCTTAGAGTAGCACCAACAAGCCACAAAATGTTTCGTGAAAAATTGAATAGTAGTGGTTTGTATACTACCTTTAGAAAAGAATTTGTGAAACATCAATTTTGAGAAAAAAAATCCCCTTATTACAGTATTTTAGTTAGAAACCAAAAAACACACTTTGAGAAGACCAGAAATCTCATCTAAAACACTGTGGTAAAGAAAATTCACCTCAAACAGTGGCGATTTTCTGCTGTTAATCGTTCTATCCATCTTCTAATGCAAGTATTAATCAATATAATCAATACATGCAGTAGAATATGGATAATTCTTGTAGAATGGCGCTTGTCATGAATTCTTCGTTTCTAAATTTTCGAGATTGAATCCAGCTACGGTAAAATATGTATATTGCGGCTGCTCGCGCTATTAGAGGATTTTTACAGCTAATCTAGACCGGCCAATGCGCTCGATTTTTGAAACACTCAAAATCACCCAACTTTCTACATTCTTCCATTGCTACCGATTGATGGATTTAAATTTGGAATTTGAAATTAACGTTTTTATTTTTACGCAAACTGTTCGTTACAATCTAACATATTGGGCAGGAATCGTTGATGGATTATTTTGTCAATTTGGCCATCAGTCAAGAGAGTGTGAAACAAACATTTCGGAAAGTGCGCAAATGTATTCCACACTCACGGCGCTCAAACAGAGTTTCGAATGAATTTTAAAAGGCATAAACTTACCAATGATTTCTAGTGTGTGTTTTTTCTGCTGCAAAATACAATTCAAAATATCACAACATTCAGAAAAGTGATTTGCAAGAATAGATTCCACACTTTCAAGTAATCACTATATGCCTCAAAATTACTCTTCTGCAATGAAAAAGCCGTTACATTCATTTTGTGTTTAGTTTTCGAAAGCTAATGGCCTTTTCAGTTTGACAAATTCTTTCACTTTTTCAGTTTCTTAGCCCAATTTGTCTGCTTGGTGTCCAAACTAAAGTTTTAAGCGCAAGCAAACTAATGAGACTGATTGCGATGCCTTCCTTACTCATCAACCAAAATTTGCAAGAAAAATTATCAGGCGTTTAGCGCTAGGCGAGCCCAAGCCTCGAACACATCCTATCAAATTTACTTCGAAACCCCGGTTCATGAAACGGCAAGATGTTATATTTTGCCTGTATAATTCAATCTATTGACGACGATGTGGACCACCGGTGGCCCCAGACCTGTTGCAAAGTCATATCCTTTGTAGGTCTAGTATTTCTTCCATGTATTAGTATTTTTCCACATTTTTGCACTCTTGGGGCCTAGAGTGCTCCATCGTCCAAAAAATTTTTTGTATTTGTTTACAAAAAAAACCTTGCGCTTCATAAATAACTACAAAACCTTCCCACGCCCAAAAGTGTTGTGCAAAATCGCGTCGTTCCGCAAAAAATTAGGATCAAATCAATTAAATTCAAATACGTCATCACGGGTTAAAAAAGCAGGGTTCTGCCAAGCCAAAATTATTACAAAGAGTTTAAGTGCTCGCATTTGCGGTTGATATAGCTCATCATCAAAAAGAGAAATTGTTAGCTACCCGTGCAGTGTGAACTTAATGTCAGACTTAAAGGCAATGGCTCGGCAAATCTCAACTTAGTCAAATTTGCGCTTACCTGGGGTTTTTCAATACGCTGATCCCGAATATCCACTTTTGAGAGCTTAAAAGCGGCGAAAATGAGCGTTTTTCAATGCCTTTTCCTTTGATATTGGACGAGTGGAGCAAGGACGATGCGCTAAATCGTGGCACGACCCAATGGTTGAAGCGTTGCGGCGGGCAGCCTCCAATGGTGAAAAGAAAATTGTCAACTCGTCCAGATGCGTGTATGATTGGCCTGCGCGTGTAAGTTCGAGAGCGATGTACTCGGCAGGGAAAGCGTGCTGTGCAACCGGGATTGCATTGTTTTCATAGTTGGGCGATAAGGAATCTACCGCGTTAAAATCCCGAGTTGTTGGATTTTGCCGATCCACTGCCTTTAATGATCTTCGACAAGTTGCAATTATGCTTTACAAATGATGGTGCCCCATCAATCACAGATAATGAAAGCGATTACGTAGTTGTTACGTCTCCATCAACTCCTTCATCGAAAACACACATCATTAACTTTTGGTCTATTGATCTAGATGCGCACCTTAAACTAAAAAGAGTTCTACAGAGTTCTTCAAAACCATATCCTTGATTTCGAAAAAAACAAAGAGTATGTAGATCCGAATACATAAACCCTGTAATTACCATGCTCGCTAACACTTCTGCGAATGCAGCTTTCTTCGCCTCCTAACAGCTTGTTTGGCCAGCTTTTACAAGTCATAAGAATCGTCAATACATTTTATCAGAACTAAGTTTAAATTTGATGCAATGTCTGCAAAAGTTGGGTTTTCCTCGTAGTCCCATCAATTATAGTTTTGATTGAAAACTCACGCTGTCCGGAAGCTTCTCAAAGAATAAATTTTCATTCCTTTTTAAATCATTTCAATAGACAGATGCCACACAAGAGAAAAAGTTCTGCTGTTTTTCTTGAGAAACTGCCCATTTCTATCGCAACAAAAAAAGTGTGCTACAGCATGACCTCGCCAATAAAACCAACAAAAAATCATAGACACTTTTTGACTTTCGGGACCTTCAATTCCTGTATGACACTTAGAGCCTTTCCTCAAAACTAAAACTTGAAGAAGCGGGATAATTTTCTAACACTTGTCATTAGGTGGAGTGGTAGTAATTTGATTGAAACGGTAATTTAACTAAGTTCTTATAACATGAGGTAAACAGCAGCTTCACATTGAACCACGCAATAACCACTCGACAGCCAGGACGTTTTTCAATTTTTCACTTGATTTTAAATTTCGCAGATGATGTCATCAAAGGAGATCGAACTTTACGCAAAAACAATGCTATGCTGTTTTCACTTATCTGATTGTATACTACAAGCACTTGGAAGAACAACCGTAAAGTTTCAGCTTTCTACAAGTCCTTGTTTTCGAGCAATATTGATCTTAGCATGGAACACCCAAGTGAGGAGAGCTAAATTTGGCAATTTTGGGAACTGGTTGTGGGAGCTCCATCGAAAGTTATCCTGGATCCCTATTGAA